GAGCAGGATGAAAGCCTCGGAAGGCTAGAGGGGTCACAAAATACGGTGTCCTGGATGTTAGCGGTTGCACTAAGAGAAACAATCTGTTTGGCTTGTACTGAAGCCACATCCATAAAGCCAGTCAGCAGAGAATCTTTCTTTTTGAGTTCCTCTGAAAGTCGTTGGATGTCTTCCATAAGGTCAGCAATCTTCTTGTTCGCTTTCTTAAGGAGTGTGCAGTCCTAATGGGGCAGAGTTATCGGCTAGCATAGTCACCGGAGCTTTGTTGCGATCAGTAGCGTTGATCGCGTTTTTACGGTCATCTAGCTTAAAATCCATGTCGGATGACTAAAATCCTTAACCCACGTAAAACTTAAGTTAAAAACTCAAGTTAAAAAAAAGGATATAAAAAATGTAACGAAAAAGAATGGATTAAAACTGGATAAGAGTTCGTTTTAAGACGGAGCTTCCGACAGGTGGCTACAGACGCCAACGCATGCGCAGAGTGCAGATTACGTCAGCAATTACGTCAGCGATCTTGTGACAAGATGATGCAAGGTTTAGGTATATAATAAGGTATATAATCTTAGCAAATTCAATAGGGACATCTACAACTGCAGTACTTAAATCTAAGTAAAGTAATTTCCCTGACTTTTTGTGTTACTTACTTTTAATAGACGCATGTAACAGTTTTATACTTCCTGTGAGTAATCCAATCAATCTTATTTTCATACTGTATATCCGTTGTGTAATTTGATAAATTGTGTTGTATGTCGTGCTCGCATCGCATCTCAGAGAAGACTCTGACTGCAACATGCGTCTTTGTAAATAGAGAAATGGACAGAAAAAGTCTCTAACTCTGCCTGTCAGCTCGCTCTGCTCCGTTAAAACTGAATTTACCATACAGAATTGAATACGAGTGCACTTGACAAAATATTAAAACACACATAAATAAATACATTAAAAAAATTAGTAATAAATAAAGTTGAATAAACAAATAAGGTAATTATAACAAAGGTGAATAAGTAAAGGCACTAATTAAAATATATACATTTATGTCTCCTTATATAATTTAATTACTACCTACATTTATTTATTTACTTTATTTTTTGTGTATTAATTGGATGCTTATTTATTTATTGAGCATTTATTTATTCTGTATTTATTTCTGACTGTGTCAGGATCGGTCCTCCATAGCGGGGTGGGAGAGTTATCAAGCACGTAAAGTTTGGTTCAGATGTTAGCATGTACACTGAAGTTACAACAACTTCCTGTGTCATGGCGAAGACTTGATCTTTGACGCCACGCCACGGACACACCCATTGACGAAAACTCGCAAATAGCACAACTTTTCATCTTCAATGCCTTTAGAAGGCACAGCACAAATTTGAAGTCGGTCGGACTAAATCCCTAGGAGGAGTTCGTTAAAGTACGAAGTGTGTAAATCATCCAAAATTTGACGTAAAATTCAAAATGGCCGACTTCCTGTTGATTTTAGGGCATCGCTCCAAGAGACTATTTTGTGCGTCTGGACAAGATACACGTACCACAGAAAATTGTGCACGTAGGTGAAACGTGCGGCGGGGGCTGCTTCGTTAAAAGTCACTTCCTGTTGCCAGCAGGTGGCGCTATGACTGTGGGTGAATGTCGGCATGTACATGTGTTCAGGGCGGGACTCTCATCCTACATGTACACTTTGGTCCAGATGTGAGCATATACACTGAAGTTACGACAACTTCCTGTGTCATGGCGAAGACTTGATTTTTGACGCCACGCCACGGACACGCCCATTGACGAAAACTCACAAGTAGCACAACTTTTCATCGTCAATGCCTTTAGAAGGCACAGCAGAAATTTGACGTCGATCCGACTAAATCCCTAGGAGGAGTTCGTTAAAGTACGGAGTGTGTAAATCATCCAAAAATGGCCGTAAAATTCAAAATGGCCGACTTCCTGTTGACTTTAGAGTATGGGTTCTTGAGGCTTTTTTGTGCGTCTTGATATGATACATAAAATATATAATCTTAGCAAATTCAATAGGGACCTCGCACGGTCGTGCTCGGGCCCTAATAATCTTAGCAAATAAAATAGGGACCTCGCACTTTTTTCAGTTTTTGTTTTTTCCTTGGTTTTCTGTTCCCTGCCTGCCTCCCTGTGTTTTCTCCCCTGTGTGCTCTCTCTCTCCCTCTGCTCCTGAGCCCAGCCAACTACCTGCACCTGCATCTCATCAGCCACCTCGTCAGCCTGCCACACCTGCCAGTAATCACCTCATGACTGCCTGTATTTCAACCCCGGTTCTCCACACCATCCTCGCTTGATCGTCGTTGCTCCATACCTGGTGCCACTTCTGTGTTCAAGCGTCCATGTTTCTTTTTTTTCACACTTACCCTGTGCCTTGTCGTTGTCTTCCCTAACCTTGTCTCTCTGTCTGTCTCCCTCCCAGGTACACTCACCTCGTCCTCCGTTCGGCTGGGCTCATCCACTGGCCCACTCCTCTTCGGACTTCCCTCACGGCGTCCTCCCTGTTTCCCCGCCTCTCCTCGCTTCCTCGGCCCCTGTGTTCCCCGGCTCCCTGGTCCCCTGACCCCTTGGTTCCCCGTGCCTGTACTTCCCCGACGTCCTCCTCTCCCTCCACTCCAGTCCCTCTCACCCTTTTCCCTAAATAAACCTCCTTCCCTCAGAGTGCTGCATTTGGGTCCTCTCTGTCCACACACCACACCCCGTAACAATAGTCTCATCTTGAGTCCAGATCTTTTCATGCACCAAGCAACCAGCTCACACATCAACCTCAACCACCAGCCACAGCGCCTGGTCAACTTAATCCGACATTACCAGCTCTTTTATTCTAGAGTTTCTTCTTTTCTGTGTTTCTCGGAATAGTTTCAGATTACTTAACAGTCTGTACCAAATTCGGGTGCAAGAGCAGCCCCAAGGTATTTATCCACTTTCTTTCAAGCCTCCCTCCCAACCTGGGAAACTCCATCATATTTCTATCTACATTCTAAACTAGCTCCCCAACCGTTGTACCAAGCACCAACTTCCCTCCATACTTGGACACTTAAATTTTGCTATCCTCATCATTCCACAAGTAGGATCCCTTCTTTCCCACTTATCCTACCTATTCGCCACAGTTCCTTCCCTCCACGATTACTCCATACTCGACAACACTTGTAAATGGAGCTGAGATCATTCCTTTCTTCTCGGAATGGCATCGCTATTCCTGTTCATAACAACCACTTAACCCAACCCGAAGACATCAACCAATACACCGATGCAGCACCGTCCGCTGGAATCAACGGCCACTACGGTGGCAGATAGTTCATCTCAGAGTGGCCATTGGAACTGTCCTCCCCTGACCCTCTACGAGCTCTACCCCACAATTCATATCTACTTTCTCGACCCCTCATCCCTACCTCCTCGATCCCTTCATCCCTCCCCTTCGACCCCTACATACTTCCCCACTCGACCCCTTCCCTTCGACCGCTTCATCCCCTCCATTCTTTCCTTCCTGAACCTTCTCTCTAACCAAATAAACTACCTGTTATACCTTAATTGGCGTGGTCTTAGTTAGTTAAATGTCATTTCAATTTGTTTAGAGGTTGTGTTTGCTGTCATTTCCATCGCTGAAATCTTGTGGAACATCTCTTCATGTTTGATGGAAAGTTTCACGATTAGTGGCAAGATGTCTTATCTGGTGTTACTCCTGTTACAGTTGCATTCACGCTTCTTCTGTTTGGTGACAGGTTTAAAGAGAGAGTCGCTCGGTGAGCCCAAAAAGACGTCAACTATGCCATCTGGACTGGCTTCATTAGTCAACATCTATCTGTAGCTGGTATATTCAGATCCATGCAGGTTCCACTGTCACTCACGTTAGCGTTAGCATCCATCAAACCTTTACAAAAGTATTTCCATATTCCCACTGGCAACTCTGCTTGGTACTAATTATAAAGACATCTTGTCACATAAGCCCGTTTTTCACCGCATAGTACCAGCTCCACTGGCCTCGACTCTACACACCTTTTTTGGTTTTCCATCGGGGAAAAGTTGTAACTGCTACCTGGTACTTTTTTTCAAATCACCTCCGTTGAGGTTCCAAGTAAGCTAAGGCGATACTAAAATGTAACGTGAAAACACAGCAGACTACTGATTGGTCAAAGAGAATCTAGAGTTAGACTGCAGTAAGTAACTTTACTGTAACTAGTGATAGTGGATGGCTCTTCCTCTGGGTTGTTGTGGCCGTGTTTTATGTTATGTGGGTCACGTTAGTAGCAGTTAGCTGTGTACCTGAGTAACGTTATTGGTAAAACCCATAGACTATATATAAATACATAAACTGAATGTTATGAAGCAAACAGCGGCAGGTCCGAGCTACTGTAGCGTTAGCTGGCTGGTCCTGGCTGCATCACTATAGGCTAACGTTAGTAAACAAATCGCTCCACATTTGCTTTTTACCGTTACATCCTCTCTGCAGGCTAAATCATGTGTGTGGCACACAGGATATAACACGGGTCGCGTTAGTTGGTGAAGTAATATGGAAAGCCAACGTTCTATAACTTTGCACCGGATAACTTTAGCAACTGCTTGGCGTTAGCCTGCAAGCTAACGTGACTTTCGCTGTGTTTCTCCAGCTTTACTAATGCTCACTTTGTTCTTACTCGACACCATCTGAACCTGTTTGGACTGATGGGCTTCAGCACATAAACCTTTATTGTTGTTTTGTATCCTTATGTGGAGCCTGTTTTGCTGTGAGCCAGTTGTTTCATCGTGTTAGTGCACTGCATGTCGTTAGCTGCCGTGTTGTCGCTGTTGCACGAGAAAGGCTCGGGAGCGCGCACAGGGCTGAATCCGACCCGGAGACCTCACATTCAAAGCAGAATAGTGATGCAAGCAACGGAGAAAACAGGCGTGTGCTTCATTTCTAAGTGAGTTTTGAGCCCATTGACAATAAGGCAATGAAAATTTTATTAATTTAATTGAAAGACTTACAAATAATCCCTTTAAGGAGCTCCGCAAGTGGTGGTGGGGAAGCTTGCGCCAACCTGGGGGAGTACTATCTCTGGAGTATTTCTGGGTACTATCTGCAATGGGAAACGGACAGCGGGCCAAAACCAAGTCGAGTAGAGTCGAGTTGTGGCGAGTTGAGCTGGTACCGATGGAAATGGAAAAAAGGCATTATGTTCTCATATTATCAGCTGAAAATGTGACAGGAAGAAAAGCACAGGTGAATGATCAATGAATGAAAATCTCAGGACTCACTGGGATACTTGGACAGAACGGAGCCATCGTTAATATTGGTATCAGTGCTTTATCTACTATGACAAGTCTACATGTCTGATGTTGAAAGACCTATCATGGCAGCAACAGTTCCCTAAACCTGCTAACTCTCAGTGAAATGAGTTCAGCCATCAGTTATAATGCTCATTAGAGACACAACAACAGTTTCTTTCCACAGGCCATCCTTCTGATTGACAGATAATTCAGTCATGGTGTCATACCCTCCAACATTATAGATTGCATTTTTATAGTTTAACATCATCATGGCCTTTCAATATTTATTTCTTTTCACTACTGTTTGCACCTTACAAACATTCTTAAATTGTATATAGATATTTTATTTTATTTTAATAAACATATTTATATAAACACCTATTTTTTCAAACAGTTGTGTACGTACTAGTGCTGTATGTTCTTATACCTTATTTGTTCAGTTTTGAGGGGTCCTTTTCTGAACCATGACACAACGATCCTCATGTGGTTTTTCTGAGGTTGAGCATTAACGCTAAACAGGGCCATGGCTTTGCCATGAGTACTCTCCTAAACAGATGAACTATGTCTATGCTGAAAGTTCACTTTTTCAGATAAAGCACATAGTAAAGTCACTTTCAGAGAGGTGTTGTATGGGTTGAGTTCATTATTGTTAAATTTATATGGTGGTGACTTAACTACAGACACACTTAAAAAAAATCAAATCAAATTAGCTCCTTGTAAATGAGGACTGATAGACTTCCTTGTCCTCATGCCCTTGTGGGGACATTTGATCCTCATAATTGAACACAAACATACGGACACACATCTTTAAAACCCAGTCCCCCTGCTAACCCTACAGAAACATAAGCTTCGCTGCCACCCAGTGGAAACAGAATGACTGCACACTCACAGGTACACCAGGAGTCCCTGGATCTCCATCTCTGCCTGGCTCCCCCTGCAAAAAGACACACCATGATTAACTGAAGCTTGTGAGTGTGTTTACACATGTGCTGGTGTGTTCATGCGGTGTGTGTGCGTGTATGTGTGTGTGTGTGTGTGTGTTGCTTGTGCGAGACTGTGTAACAACGGGTGTGTCAATTTAGGTGTGTGTATTAGTGTGTGCTGGTCCATGCCTTCAATCTCTGTGTCTGCGCGTGTGTGTGTGTGTGTGTTGCCTTCATTCTGTCTATGTGTGTGTGTGTGTGTGTGTGTGTGTGTGTGTGTGTGTGTGTGTGTGTGTGTGTAAAAAAGGTCATGATTACCACTAGCAGCCAATAAGAGAAACCCAGTGAGAGGGATTGGAATTGGCTAGTTGTGACCTTTAACAAACCTGACTTTTTATCTGGTGTGTGGCTTTCCAACCATATCCTGCAGCACTGTAACATACTGCTCCGCTGGGCTATCACACTGTCTGCAGAACTGAATCAGACCATCATCACTCGCTGTGATTGTTCAATTTGTGACTTATTCTGTGTTCACAATGGTAGAAAAAGTGCAGGGTGGCGTCTTGTTGCTACAACGTGGAGGTGTTCATGTGCTCCTGCTGGGATAGACCCCAGTCCCCCTTTATACCTTTGCATTATTATAATGCATTCCTTGCTAGTGTTTGGCAAGTTACTCAAAAATTGTAATAAGTTACTAGTTACTTATTACTCCTTTAAAGGGGCAATATGTAGTTTTCCGCAGCCACTAGCGTTGCAGATTGAAGACTGCAACCTGGTATGCATGCTTGCTTAAACCCATGAGCGAGCATAATCTGAAACACAACCACTTTCATACAGAAATTCTGAAATAAATGCAGAAACACCGGCATGGTGGCTGTGGCTTTTCTCCAGACATGTTCAGACTCTGTTACTTAAATATTCCCAGCTCAGAGGCATATCAATCGTACCTGTCATACCGCATATTGACACAATACTCCCGGGAAAAAAGGCAGTGTGACAGCAGCTATAGACAGACATGCTGGAAACTCAGGTTAAACTCCTACTGCAGTGTTACAGTAATATTTTATTAGCTTGAGGTTGAACTAATCCCATGCTGGTTACATGATAACGGTACATTTACCGCATTTGTGAGGAATCTTGGAGTTATCTTTGATGTCGTTTAAGTCTCACATTAAGCAAATTCTTTTTTCCACCTATGTAATATAGCAAAAAACAGGAACTGTCTAAAAATGATGCAGAAAAACTAGTCCATGCATTTGTTACTTCTAGGCCGGATTACTGCAATTCCTTATTATCAGGCTGCCCGAAGACTCTTCAGCCTCCAGAATGCTGTAGCACATGTTCTGACAGGAACCAGGAAAAGAGATCACATTTCACCTGTCTTAGCTTCTCTGCATTGGCTTCCTGTAACATCCAGAATAGAATTTAAAATCCTTCTTCTCACCTACAAAGCTCTTAATGGTCAGGCATCATCTTATCTGAAAGAGCTCAAAGTACCTTACTACCCCACCAGAACACTGCGCTCCCAGAATGTAGGGTTACTTGTGGTTCCTAGAGTCTCCAAAAGTAGAATGGAAGCCAGAGCGTTCAGCTATCAAGCTTCTCTCCTGTAGAACCAGGTTCCAGTTTGGGTTCGGGAGGCAGACACCATCTCCACATTTAAGAGTAGGCTTAAGACTTTCCTCTTTGATAAAGCTTATAGTTAGGGCTGGCTCAGGTGAGTCCTGAACCATCCCTTAGTTATGCTGTTATAGGCCTAGACTGCCGGGGATTTCCCATGATGCACTGAGCTCCTCTCTCCTCCTCCTTCTCTCCCTCTGTATGCAACCTCATCCCATTAATGCATGTTACTAACTTGACTTCTTCCCTTTCCCGTTGTCTTGTGCTTTCTCGTCCCTCTCCTCTCTCCTCCTATCACTTCCTGCAGGTGTTTCTGGCTCTGAAGCTGTGGAGTTGGATCTGTGGTTGCGGGTCACCTGCTGCCCCTATGTTCCTGCATTCTGGGAGCGCAGTGCTGTGGTTGGGTAGTAAGGTACTATGAGCTCTTTCAGATAAGATGGTGCCTGACCATTAAGAGCTTTGTAGGTGAGAAGAACGATTTTAAATTCTATTCTGGATTTTACAGGAAGCCAATGCAGAGAAGCTAAGACAGGAGAAACATGATCTCTTTTCCTGGTTCCTGTCACCTGCTGCAGCATTCGGAATCAGCTGAAGAGTCCTAATGGACTTTTTCGAGCAGCCTGATAATAAGGAATTGCAGTAATCCAGTCTAGAAGTAACAAATGCATGGACTAGTTTTTCTGCATCATTTTAAACTGATTATTATTTATCCTGATTTTTGCAATATTATGTAGGTGAAAAAAGGCGGTCCTTGAAATGTCAGATTTAAACAACATGTCCTGATCAAAGATAACTCCAAGATTCCTCACAGTGGTGATGGAGGCAAGGGCGATGCCATCTAGGAAAACTATATCTTAATCTTATCTTATCTCAATAAATTCATCTGAGTTTAACACTAGAAAATTACAGGTCATCCAGGTTTTAACATCCTGAAGGCACATTTGAAGTTTAGCTAACTGATGAGTTTCATCTGGCTTGATTGATCGATATAACTGAGTATCATCTGCATAAAAATGGAAGTTTATGAAGTGTTTCCTGATAATATTGCCTAAAGGAAGCATATATAAAGTGAAGAGGATTGGTCCGAGGACAGATCCTTGAGGAACTCCATGACTAACTTTGGCATGCATGTACAATGTACATGTACAAACTGAAATCAATCTGATAAATAGGACTTAAATCAGCTTAGAGCAGTTCCTTTAATGCCAATTAAAAGTTCCAGTCTCTGTAATAGGTTCTGATGCTTTCTCAAGGATCTTAGAGAGAAATGGAAGGTTAGATATAGGTCTATAGTTGGCTAAAACATCTGGATCAAGGTTGGGCTTTTTCAGAAGAGGTTTAATTACAGCTACTTTAAAGTACTTTGGTACATAGCCTGTTGATAAAGATAGATTGATCATATCTAGTAGAGATGCTGACTAAGGGTAAAACTTCTTTAAGCAGCCTAGTCGGGATGGGGTCTAAGAGGCAGGTTGATGGTTTAGATGAAGAAATTATTCAAGTTAGTTGGTAAAGATTGAGGGAAGCAAAGCAGTCTAAACATATATATGGTTTTACAGCTGTTTCTAAGGTTCCTGAGTTTAGAGATAAGTCGGTGCCAATTAAGTGTAGTTCTTGGTGAATTTTGTCTCTAATAGTTAGAATTTTATCATTAAAGAAGCTCATGAAGTCGTAACTACTGAGAGCTATGGGAATACATGGCTCAATAGAGCTGTGGCTCTCTGTCAGCCTGGCTACAGTGCTGAAAAGAAATCTGGCGTTGTTCCTATTTTCCTCTATTAATGACAAGTAGTATGCTGCTCTGGCATTACGGAGGGCCTTCCTATAAGTTTTAAGACTATCTTGCCAAATTAAACAAGAATTTTCCAGTTTGGTGGAACACCAATTTCTCTCAAGTTTCCGCAATATTTGCTTTAATTTGCGAGTTTCAGTATTATAGCATGGAGCTAACCGTCTTTGTTTTATTATTTTCTTTTTTAGAGGGGAAACAGAGTCAAGTGTCATTCGCAGTGAAATTACCATCCTCTGTTACTTTGTGACTTGATAATGAATTTAGAGCTGATGGAATCGCATCCTTAAATTTTGCTACAGCACTATAAGACAGACATCTTGTTTAGAAATTTTTGCCCTAACGTGTATAATGTATATAATGTAGCATTTTACTTCAAACTAAAACATGTGTCATCTACAAATGTTACCCAGTTGGCTGAGACAGATGACCCTGAGTCTAGGTCCCTTTTAAAGGGAGTTTTCCATGCCACTGTTGCCAATTGCTGCTCATGGTGGGAACTGTTGGTTCTCTGTAAATAATATTACACAGAATACAGTCTAGATCCGCTATAAATGAAAAGTGCAATGACATTACTTCTGTTATGACTTGACACTATATAAAAAACTGAAACTAAATTGAATTGAACCTGAAGCCACTTTATTAAATCAGAGCCATTGTAGTGTGAAACTGTGTTACTTGTTGACTGATGTTTTGATCACATTACATTATCTGATCGGAGGCCGTCATCACTCAAAATAATGACAATTAGATATTTTTGTCAGAATGGCTCAACCCTACACTGACTATGGATAAGTAGCTCATCTAACCATCCAGTAGAAGTGTGAAGAAAAAGTACCTGGTGTCCTTTAGAGCCCGTCTCTCCTCTCTCCCCCTAAAGATACAACAGTGAACATTAGAAAACATCAAACTCACAGTAATTCACATGTGTTGCCCAGAGATGGGGACTCGAGTTTGAGACTTGGACTTGAGTCACACACACAGTGACTTGACATAGACTTGACCTGAGACTCATCCTCAAAAGACTGCAGACTTGACCTGGACTCCAGATGTGGGACTCGTGAACAAACGTCGGTATGAGCTTGCTGTTATTCTCCTCCGTGTTACCTATAACCTACCTACGTAACACATGCTACATATCTGCTGCACACTGCCACACATGATAAGGACAACACCCGCAGCTGCTGTGCCATTCATCATAAACTTTGGCTTTAAAACTTCATACAACAAGACAAAGAAGCGCTGAACGCAAAATAGGTTAGTAACTTGAGGTTAGTAAACATGCGTAGTTCAGCATTGGCCATCTAACGTTAGCTTGCTTCTTGCTTTAGCTACAACCTACGGGAGGTTAACTCTGACTGTCGTTCGTTATGAAAAGATGAACGAGCATTTCTTTGCTTGCCAAACTTGTGGTGGTTGATTAACGTAATCATTTACATCCCGCTGGCTGCCATCACGTTAATTATTAACGTTGGCTGCAAACAGGTTTATTGTTGATCATGTAACATTACAGATGTATTTAGTTAACATTACCCTGGGTTTGAGAGTCTGGGGGATGTGTTGACTTACAGTATTTATAACCTTTGATTAGTTGCATTGCACACTACTTGGTAAGTGAAAAACAGGTTGTGTTCTAAGCAGCCTGGATTGAACGCAGCAGGTGATACAAGCACAAGTGACTTGAGACTTGACTAAGACTTTAGCTCAAAGACTTGTGAGCATCTCTAGTGTCGCCTGACACTGAATCATTAATTAATGAATTAACAGTAACATAGCATCAGTGTCCTGTTAACGACATACTTTGCTGAAAACAACATACAACATGTTAACAGCTTGATCCAGATCAGGACTGTTTGTACTGGACTTGCCTGAGCATGTTTGAAGGACAACCTTCAGTACTGTTCAAATTAATCACGCCATCTAAGCAAAACATGAATAATACATTACCAAGTATGTACCATGTTAAGCTGTCAACATGTCTACATACAACAGGTAAATGTACAAACTCCTGACAGCCAGTGCTATAAATCATTCATCAAGTGTGGCCTTTGTTGCCAGTTGTAGACTTCATTAAGTCCGAACCAAATCATCTTTTATCTTACTCTGTTCATGTACTGTATGTTTTTCAATGAATCGGCTCTCACCTTGTGACCTTTGAACCCCGGCAGCCCCGAGGCCCCTGGCAGCCCTGGAAAACCTGGCTCCCCTGTTAAACCCTACAGTGGTGAAATGTTATTAATGATGGAATTCAAAAAAAGAAAAGATTCATATGATGTGGTCAAACTCAAACTGGCCATTTATTTCACACAAGATGGAAAACCTTTATCTAGCAGAAAAAAAGGACATATTTTATTTAACACCTGGTCAAAATATCAAACTTGAGGAGTTTCCAGGTGTGTGTGTGTGTGTGTGTGTGTGTGTGTGTGTGTGTGTGAGACATGGTCCATTCTTCACATGTAACAACTTCCCAGGCTGGTGCAGTGAAAAAGAAGAATAGGTGCTGGGTAAATATGGCTTTTAAATTTGTTTGAGTGAAAACTGTCTTTAACTCATGAAATTGGTTTCATTTCTAAAAAGCTAAAGCCCTTTCTGCTTTGAAGGATGGCACCTTCAAAATTACCAAGGCTACCTGTAGTTAAAGAAGCACAACAGTGAAAACTCAGATCCCTTTTTAAAACCACAATGGTTGACATTTATGGGCAGAATTAACGCTCATCAGCAGGATCCTACTGGAAGAAGCGGCTGGCAGACAGTCAGAGAAGGAGAAAAGAGAAAGGACAAAAGCTGTCACCCTGATCGCACCCTGATCCCTCCGGGAGAATTAGCAGTGCCCTCACTAATCCGACCGCCGTGTTGTGTTTGTCACTTTTATGTGGCCGTAAGTATAGACTAACAGACTGGGGAATAAAGGTGCAAATAGTGTAGATGCTTTTGGCAAGTGAAGACTAAGGGATAGACGATTGTAGCACAGAGCTTTGTGGAGAGTCACATGAATGCACAAACTGTAAAGAAATGTGGGACACAGGTACAGAGAAAATGGTGCTGAAACTCTCTCTACAGTCTAAAGTCTGGTCGTCACGGGAGGTTGCCAGGTTTTCAACTACCTTGTCTCTACAGAGACCAAATTCACAACCTGTGCTCACCAAACATAGAGGTTACACAGAAGTGCTGGGTGGGTGGATACACTGTTGTTCCTCAAGAAATAGCTGGAGCACATAAGTCAATGGTCAATAAAACCATAAATTGAGTTTGTGTAAGGATAAAACAGATGAGCTTCAGAAACAGATCAGGCTAACTACTGTTTGTCCCACTCTAAGTCTGAAAACCAGACAATCTTGTCAAAAAACATCTATCTAGCGACACTAGTAGATGTAAATGCCTGCAATTATTCAAAGAAGGTATAAAAACAATATAGACATTAAAGAAAATACAAGGCAGCAAAAAGAAAAACCGACAGAGGGAAGGAAGATGCAGAGCTGGAGAGCAGTTCAGACAGAGGTTAAAGAAAACAATCTTGATAATCTGCTGCTCCACTCACCTTCTGGCCTGGTGGACCAAGAGGACCAGCAACCCCTGGATCTCCACACTTCCCCTAAATGAAACACACACACACCACATCTGTCTGACAATATTCCTAAATCTCTACGGGTCTCTTCCCTGTTAAACAGCTGTGATAAGTTGTGAGTGGTGCATCAGCTGTTCTGAGTACGAACATTATACTGCTGTACGGAAAACACATACTGTGCTGCCAAAAGCAGAATTTACGTTGGTGGAATCTGCTTGTGTCATATATTTATTACACGATAGTTATGATGTCCAGTTAGTGAGTCTGTTGCACAGAACACTGCTCTACAGCTTTCTTATCACTTCTTCATGACGATGCTGTTTACAAACTATCGAAATGTTACAGTCAGAATTTTAGGAGTTGTTGCTTATGCAAAATTTAATCAAGCGCATGTTGCGTTGAGTGTGCCAATTCCAAAGGCCAGGAAAATGCATTTCCAAGGTAATTTCAAGGTCAGGGAAACACAAACATGTCCTCATGCTGCTTGTGCTTGTCTTTGCAAAGAAAAATAGGGCATCCACAGACTTTACAGGTCACTTGAGTCCCCCTTTAATCTGTAACAAGCTCCTCATTAAGTAAAATAGTGTTAACTTTTCATCAGTGCCTGTAGAACTTTTAACTTGTTCTGTGAAGGAGAGAAATACAAGTAACACACACCGTCCTTAATCATATACAACAGCAATTTGATTCCAAACAAGTCGACTCCCTCTCACAAAATGTATGTTTCACTACAGAAGCATAGAGCGAGCAGGGAGGAGGGAGTGGCATTAGAACAGACTGAGAATAGCCGAGTGGCTGGGGAGCAGCAGGACATTAGCATAATAACTAATTAGAACGTTCAACGCACAGACCTTGGGACCCTCTTGGCCGATCTCTCCGGGCGGCCCCCGAGGCCCCTGGATTCCCTGAGTGGAGAGAGACATTGAAGGAGAAGGAGGGGAGAGAAGGGACGAGGGAGGAATGGAATGAGAGGGGGAGAGAGAATGAGATGAAAGAGACAGACACAGTGCTTTGGGCTGAATGTGACAGAGTGCATGACGGCTTAGTCAGGAGGCACTGAGGGAGAAATGAGATGGCTCAGGTCCTCACACACCCACACACTTACAGACACACACACACACACACACACACACTCTCACTCACTCACTCACTCAGACACACACTCATACACACACACACTCTCATGAACATCCACGTTTGCGCCCTTTGAGGATTTGCCGATCCAAATTCTTGGTCATTTTCGAACCCCCTAGCTATCTAGCTAATTGGGATAACGTAAGCCTCATGAGTTGGTAGAAACACCGTCTCCGACTGACTTGTACAGATTTTAAAACCAGTAATAAACTGGATCCACACACAAGGACTTACATGGTGATACAGTGCTTAAAGCCTGAAAGAGAAAGTCATCTTTACCTGCTGAACCATACAGAGGAGAAGAGGAGTAAGAAACAGTTTGCATTGCTACTAACGTTAGCCTAGGCTCTGATGGCTGGCTTTGACAGGTAAAAATAGCACACAGTGGATATGCTAGCTGTGAAAGGGGCTTTCTTTTTAACACAACCTGTAATGTAAGAAAACAAATGTAATCAGTGAAGATGGTAACTCTCTGGTGCTACCCCGGCTGCACACTGAGTCATCTGTTCCTTACACCTTTGCTCGTGAAAGAAAATGCATCCCTTTGCTCTTTATGTACAGAATGTCTCTCTTACCACACGTACCCTCATAAAACAAGTTATGGTTGCCACACTATGACTGGACAAGCACTGTTTGTTAAGTAAACGGTCAGTTACGTTTGTATTATTAGGGCCCGAGCACGACCGTGTGAGGTCCCTATTGAATTAGCTCGGATTATAATTTTTAGGGCCCGAGCACGACCGTGTGAGGTCCCTATTGAATTTGCTCGGATTATTTATTAGGGCCCGAGCACGACCGTGTGAGGTCCCTATTGAATTTGCTCGGATTATTTTTAGGGCCCGAGCACGACCGTGCGAGGTCCCTATTGAATCTGCTCGGATTATTATTATTTATTAGGGCCCGAGCACGACCGTGCGAGGTCCCTATTGAAATTGCTCGGATTATTTATTTATTTTTTTTTCTGCAAAGTAGGCCCAAATGACATGGCCTAAACATACTCGAAAACTCACCAAAATTTGCAAACATGTCAGAACCGGTGAAAAATTTCGTATTCTACAAGTTTCGCACATGGGCGTTGCAAAATGACTCGCTAGCGCCACCTAGAAAATTGGAAAAAATTAGCCCCTCGTTCACGTTCAACCTACATCTACGAAATTTTCTGGGGACATGTATCATGTCAAGACGCACAAAAAGCCTCAAAACCCATAGCCTAAAGTCAACAGGAAGTCGGCCATTTTGAATTTTATGGCCATTTTTGGATGATTTACACACTTCGTACTTTAACGAACTCCTCCTAGGGATTTAGTCGGATCGACGTCAAATTTGTGCTGTGCCTTCTAAAGGCATTGACGATGAAAAGTTGTGCTATTTGCGCGTTTTCGTCAATGGGCGTGTCCGTGGCGTCGATGATTCGCCATGAAACAGGAAGTTGTTGTAACTTCAGTGTACATGCTCACATCTGGACAAAACTGTACATCTCGGATGAGAGTCCCGCCCTGAACACATGTACATGCCGACATTCACCCACAGTCATAGCGCCACCTGCTGGCAATAGAAAGTGACCTTTAACGAAGCAGCCCCCGCCGCATGTTTCACCTACGTGCACGAATTTTCTGTGGTACGTGTATCTTGTCCAGACGCACAAAAAAGTCTCTTGGAGCCATAGCCTAAACCAACAGGAAGTCGGCCATTTTGAATTTTACGTCAAATTTTGGATGATTTACACACTTCGTACTTTAACGAACTCCTCCTAGGGATTTAGTCCGACCGACCTCAAATTTCTGCTGTGCCTTCTAAAGGCATTGAAGATGAAAAGTTGTGCTATTTGCAAGTTTTCGTCAATGGGCGTGTCCGTGGCGTGGCGTCAAAGATCAACTCTTCGCCATGACACGGAAGTTGTCGTAACTTCAGTGTACATGCTCACATCTGGACCAAACTGTACATGTAGGATGAGAGTCCCGCCCTGAACACATGTACATGCTGACATTCACACAGTCATAGCGCCACCTGCTGGCAACAGGAAGTGACTTTTAACCAAGCAGCCCCCGCCGCACGTTTTACCTACGTGCACGAATTTTCTGTGGTACGTGTATCTTGTCCAGACGCACAAAAAAGCCTCTTGGAGCGATGCCCTAAAATCAACAGGAAGTCGGCCATTTTGAATTTTACGTCAAATTTTGGATGATTTACACACTTCGTACTTTAACGAACTCCTCCTAGGGATTTAGTCCGACCGACTTCAAATTTGTGCTGTGCCTTCTAAAGGCATTGAAGATGAAAAGTTGTGCTATTTGCGAGTTTTCGTCAATGGGTGTGTCCGTGGCGTGGCGTCAGAGATCAAGTCTTCGCCATGACACAGGAAGTTGTTGTAACTTCAGTGTACATGCTCACATCTGAACCAAACTTTACGTGCTTGATAACTCTCCCACCCCGCTATGGAGGACCGATCCTGACACAGTCAGAAATAAATACAGAAATAAATAAATGCTCAATAAATAAATAAGCATCCAATTAAATACACAAAAAAATAAGTAAATAAATAAATGTAGGTAGTAATTAAATTATACAAGGAGACATAAATGTATATATTTAATTAGTGCCTTTACTTATTCACCTTTGTTATAATTACCTTATTTGTTTATTCAACTTTATTTATTACTAATTTTTAATGTATTTATTTATGTGTGTGTTTAATATTTTTGTCTGTTTTATTCTTCCTTTGTATTTATTTACCTTATTTATTTTCACCCATGGTATTTATTTCTGCCTGTCTTTTTTAAATTTTGTATGCATTTCTGCCTCATTATGCAAATGAGGAGGGGCTGTGTCTCAAGGGGTCATCTTCTCTGCTATTGGTGGACCAGTCAGACAGGAGAGCTCCTCTGCCTGCAGACATCAACGATCTTGCCCCTCACACAGTCAGATGGCTTCCTTCAGTGCGCTGAGGTGTTTAACAACTCTGAAGACAATACTACCAGCAATGTCTTCCTTCTCTTTTCACGTAGACGCCCGACAGACAGTGCTTTCAGTTTGCTGCATGCATGGACACAGAACTGCGGTATAGGGAGAAGCACACGGTCAGCTGGCTGCAGCTAAATCTGGAGTGCACTCGTATTCAATTCTGTATGGTAAATTCAGTTTTAACGGAGCAGAGCGAGCTGACAGGCAGAGTTAGAGACTTTTTCTGTCTGTTTCTCTCTTTACAAAGACGCATGTTGCAGTCAGAGTCTTCTCTGAAGAGGGCAATGAAGTCTCAGTAGTACCCGATGCGAGCACCACATACAACACAATTTATCAAATTACACAACGGATATACAGTATGAAAATAAGATTGATTGGATTATACTCACAGGAAGTATAAAACCTGTTACATGCGTAACACAGTAATGTCAGGGAAATTACTTACTTAGATTTAAGTACTGCAGTTGTACATTTGAAATACCTTCCTACCTTTCTGATAGGAAGCCTTCTTGAGGTGGTATAAAACATTTCTTCTTATATTCTGATTTGAGTTGTGGACAACTATGACCACATGAATTAAAAAATTAAACATTTCACTGCCCAAGTCAGCTATACACAAGTCTTGTTCATTAGACTACATGCTGTACAGTATTTGTGGACAGATTTTGTCCCAGGATTTATTATGCATTTCTTCTTCTTCGTTGCATGTTTAGAATAATAAGGTGAGAAATGGGTCTATTCTGAGTTCATCCTGCACTGCAGCAGCTAAAAAAGTCCATTTAATCCCAAAAACGCTTTTCTTTTAGGCAGGCTGGAGCAGAAACACAGTAACGATGAAATGTGTGCTGTTCTCACATTCTTCCTCTGTATGTACACAAAACAAGGCAGGGAAATATAAAAGGAATTTATTTTATTGTTTGGGTACATTATTGTTCAGTGTACATGTTCACATCTGAAACAAACTTTACGTGCTTGATAACTCTCCCACCCCGCAGACATCTACACGCCAATACGATTTATATTCATAGCGGCAAGTGCTATGTAGCTCCACATAGGGGACACAGGAAGTGACATATAGCACCTTCATGCGGCGTCATAACGCGTAACAAATTCACAGCCGCACCGGCAGAGCTCCAGAATATGCAACTCGGCCGGCTCACGCGCGCGCTTACAAGTGCGAGGGCCCGCCCAACGCTGCTTGCAGCTTTAATTTATTTTTTTTTTTTTTTTTTTTTTCTGCAAAGTAGGCCAAATGACATGGCCTAAACATACTCGAAAACTCACCAAAATTTGCAAACATGTCAGAACCGGTGAAAAATTTCGTATTCTACAAGTTTCGCACATGGGCGTGGCAAAATGACTCGCTAGCGCCACCTAGAAAATTGGAAAAAATTAGCCCCTCGTTCACGTTCAACCTACATGTACGAAATTTTCTGGGGACATGTATCATATCAAGACGCACAAAAAGCCTCAAGAACCCATAGCCTAAAGTCAACAGGAAGTCGGCCATTTTGAATTTTACGGCCATTTTTGGATGATTTACACACTTCGTACTTTAACGAACTCCTCCTAGGGATTTAGTCGGATCGACGTCAAATTTGCTGTGCCTTCTAAAGGCATTGACGATGAAAAGTTGTGCTATTTGCGCGTTTTCGTCAATGGGCGTGTCCGTGGCGTCGATGATTCGCATGAAACAGGAAGTTGTTGTAACTTCAGTGTACATGCTCACATCTGGACCAAACTGTACATGTAGGATGAGAGTCCCGCCCTGAACACATGTACATGCCGACATTCACCCACAGTCATAGCGCCACCTGCTGGCAACAGA